TTTATGTACGAGAATTAAAATCATTTTAAAACTAATATTAAATTTCATAAACTCTATCAATATATATATTTTTTCTATTACTTTTCAACGACGGAAACAAAAACAATAATTATCAAGCATCTTTTTTTTTTATTCGTACTCATAATAAAAATTTTCGTTTCTTTTTTTTTTACAACATAGATCATAACAAATATAATAAAAACAACATTAATCACTTTCTTTTTTTGTTGTTGTTAGTTATTCTTTTTTCGCTTAAGTTCATTTAGAATTGTACATGAAAGCATATGAAAAGATTCGTTTAATGTATAGGCATTTTGTCCTTGACTAAAATCAATTTGATTTAATGCACCAAGAACATGTACATATGAACAAGCTATACGTAATATTGATAATCGACTTAATTTTGGTTGATCACCATACATAGGTATAACTTGTCTTAATGCTTCAAATGCTGCTGTTAAATTATGTACACGTTCACGTTCACGTGCATTAGCTTCTAAACGTTTATTGTGACTTAAACGTGGTCGTTTTGATGATATATGATGTTGATGGTTATGTCTAATAGAAGATTCTTCATTCATATCAATATAACTTTCATCATTGTTTTCTTGTTCATCTGTTTGATCAAATTGTGGTAAGTTAGATAATTCATCATCGGTAGAAGTCATTATAAAAGTAGATGGTTCTTCGACTTGTATATATGATGTATCCGTTGTTATTTGATTAAGATAAGATGTTTGTATTGATGGCTTAATAGTTTTTGATGGATGAGCTGCTTTACGAGATCTTTTCATTCGATTCGAATGTGGCATAGATGCTACTGTAAGGTTTGTTGTGTTATCAACAATACGATGGTTATCAAATTCGATCGGTTCTAATTTTACCGTTGATGAGCTGTAAAAACGAAAGAGAAAAATCAAAGTATTAAGGGATTTTTGTTCTTTTTTTTGTTCTGTTTCCTTTTCAATTTAAGTTAGATTATATGGCTTACTTATTCATTTTTTTTTGTTATTAGCTCTATTTATGACATTGATAGTACGATAGTTGAAATTTGTCAGTGCCGTTTTTTTTTTACTTGCAAAGCATGATCAATAATTGAAAGAAATAGAACGGAAGTTCGACCGGGTGTGTGTCTTAACAGATTGTGTTAGAGCACATACACATTTCTTTTGTCTCTTCTGTTACATCCCTATTGCCGCCTGCTTCTGTTCTTGCTACTGTTTTCTTTATTCTTTCTTTACCACTTTCTTAGCATTCAACACCCACATATACAACAGCCGTCATCACTGACTAGTCTATTCGCATGATGATTACTTGCAACACATGTTCACTATAAAAGAGAGACTGAGAGAAAGAGACACACACATAGGAATGGAAGCATACTGCTACCATAAGGAATGGTTACACACACATGCGAACGTGAAAGCATTTCTATTTTATACTTTCTTTCGTTCCATTCTCCTTCTTAGGACAACTTCTACTTATTTATTTCTTTTTTTTACCATTTGTTTGATGTCATGTCATAGCTATGCGTTTAGGTTGATAATCTACTAAGAGAAAAAAAAATATTGGCAATCCGCCGAAGCGCATACTAACAGTAGCCAGACATAGTAGTGTTACTTTTCTCATCAATAAAAACCAAGAATTCGAATAAATCAGTTGAAAATAAATTTGTCTGTGTAAAATACTATCGGATTAATAAGATTTTAAAAGAATTTGATCTCTTATCTTAAATTATTTATCAATCATAAATTTAAAGAATAATGTCAATACTCATAGTGATGTAATATAGTATCTTCCATTCGCTTTTTTAATCGATTAATTTAAGAAAATTGTTGCTACTTATGAAAATATGCAGTTCTATTCTCAAATAGTTGTCAAATGTGAAATAAAAACAAAAGAAAACCTTTTTTCATCAATCAACACGATAACATTTTCTGTGATTGCCAATGAAAATGTACTCAAGAGTAACAAAACAAAAATAACAAATGGTTCATTGAGAACGAAAAAAAAGCAGAACTTTGATATTTTAATGGAATTATTATTATTTTTTTCTTGTTTCTATACGCCAGAATTGAAACAAAAAAGAAACTTCATTTTGATAGACTACAGACATACTTGTGTGTAGCACGATTATTAATAACAAATATGACTGATCTTAATCAGCCAAACACGAAAGATGATAAGCAAAAACGAACCGTCGAACATCTCCATCGTTCATGTATGAATAGCAATTAATATATTGATAGATTTTTTTCTTGCTTAAATATATTGTAACTTTGTTTGTTTTTTTTTATTTAAGTAAAAGAAAATTGGACAACAGGTTTTATTCGTGATGAATTAGCACTTCTTGATTTATTAAGTAAGTAAACTTGATTTTTTTTCTTTTATTGATCTAGACTATTCAAATGTAAAGACCATTTTTAATATTGATGCGAAAATTCTTTTCTTTTTGTAATATTTATTAATTAATATTATCTATAGATAAGAAATTTATTTTTAAATTATATTAATATTAGCAACGGGTCGTCGACGAATACGTGATAATGTAATTGAAACGGAAATGCAACATGAATTTAAAAATCCAAAATTGAAAAGTATACAACATTTAAAACATATTGAACAAAATCGATTAGGTCGTTATGCTTATACACCGAAGCAATATCCACCGAGAGGTGCCGGTAAGTAAATTACATATTAGAGAATTTAATAACTGTCTTTAATAAATAAATTCTCTTTTTCTTTTGTCTTTTAATTTAGTACCAACATTCAATGATAAAGCTTATCCTGAAGTTATTCCACGATTTTATTTACCTAAAATGCCATTTTAAATTTATTTTTTTCTGTAGTCTTTTTTTTTTCTTTCGGTTGTTCATAATAATGAGCAAAAGAATGAAAATAATGTTTAAGAAATCCATTTTGTACCAGACGAACAAGAATTTATCAAACCAATTGAATTCGATGGAGAAACAAAAGGTTGTTGTGATGCCATAATAGTTTGAGTGCCACCACCACCAACGCAAAGTGGTCGTTCAACACATTGACCAGTCGGTAATTGTTGCATGATTTGTTGTTGAACACATTGACCGCTTGGTACTTGTTGAATGAATTGTTGTTGTGGTTGTATACAGGGAGATGATGGTGGTAAAATAACTGCTGGCTGGCAATTAAGTGATTCTGTTTTTTGAATTTGACAAGGTTGTTGACATACTGTATTTTGAGCAACGTAACCCTTTAGATAAACATTAAATATTGAATTAACACTTAACAAAAAAGATATAGTATTAATAAACATACTACAGCAACTTGATCAGTATAAACTTGTGCTGGTGGATAAATGTCTTGAACATATTCAGTTACTTGAAGTGGTGGAGGTGTTGGTTCTGGTATTGGAATGGGAATAATGATTGGTGGTAATGGAGGCGGTGTAACTGATCTACATCGTCGTCGTCGTCGATGACGACGTTTTATACATATAGGTTCGTCAACACAATATTCTTCTGGACAACAATATGGAGGTGGAGCATAATACTGCAAGGAAAAAGAGATTGGTAATGAAGAGATTCGTATATATATATATACACATATGGAGTTTTAATATAAAATGTACTTCTTACATACCTCTTGCACTCTGTATTGATATTGTTGAGGTGTTTGCATAGGTATTGGTACTGGTACAGGAACACATACTGGCTCTCGTACTATGATAGGCTGAGCTATCGGACATGGTTGTGGAACTGGTACACAAACTGGGACAGGTACCGGGCATGGAGTTTCAACCGGAACTGGTACAGGCCTTGGAACAGGTACAGGACATTGACGTTCTACTGGTACCGGTATAGGCACAGGCTGTGGAACCTGTACAGCATATGGACGGTCTACGGGTACTGGTACTGGCCTAGGAAAAGGTACACAAACTGGTTTCGGTATGATGACAGGCTGAATTGTATGTGGAATGGGCACATCAACAGGTTGTATTATATTTTGAAGAAAAGGTTGTGGTACAGGAACAGGACAAGGAAAAGGCTGTGGAACAGGTACATCATATGGGCACATGATTGGTTGTGGACATATTGGAAATGAACATGGATATGCGCTGCCGAACATTTGGAATGTTTCTTTTTAAAGATAATTGAGTCGACGTTTAAATTAAGATAAATTTATACAAAGAACAAGGAATGACCCTCGTATTTCAAGCGTCACTTGAATCTATATACACCAAGGGACAATAGCAATATGTCTTGTTTTTTAATGTGTGTAGCCAGACGCAAGGAGATGACCAAATTTTGAATTACTGAAATAATTGACAATTTAAGTGTACGCTTCTCTTATAATCATTATTGCCATATGAACGAAACATAAAAACTGACAAGAAAAAAATTGCACACCTAACATGAATAAAAGAAAGAAGGCATCGATTTGCATCATTGATTTCTCATATACATACTCATATACATACAAAGAAAAATGAAGGCGAGACAGTATATATTGGTTCAATAAAATTGGTACCTGTCCTTGATTAAAATGCCAGTTAGTAAAAATGTCCTGTTTACTTGAATGTATCTCTGCTAATTTGTTTCTAATCAATGTTTATGTGATTGGTATTGTTGCTATATGTCGTATATGTATGACTCTATTGATATACTCTAAAACATTATCTAAGTCACCAAATATTCGTCGATATCGATAAGAACCAAAAAAGAAACCTTCAACATAAGATTGTGATCAGTTGAAATATATTACCGTATCTTATACCTTTATGTTGAAGGTTTTTCTATCACTACTTCAAGTTCATGTGCATATTCATCATAACCTTGCCCTCATCCGTGACAATAGCGGTAATATCAAGAAAAGGAAAGGAGATAAAAGCTAGACAAACATACAAACTTCTTTTATTTATACTTAGCAAAAAAAAATGAAAAAGAAAAAAAAAAACAGGATAAAAGGCTTTGTTTTAATAATGATCAAATACGAATAAGCATACACCTGAGAAAAACAAATGAGAAAATAAACTAAAATGTCGATACTGTTTTCGTTTTGTTTTGTTTTTTTGGTTCTAATCATCACCGGACATTGATGTTAATCATTATTATGAACATTTAAAAGTTTTGTCACGTTGAACATTATAAACATAATAAAGTAAATGTTTATTATCCCAAGCAAATATTTTTCCTTCATATGGATTATATGTTAATTGAACTAAAAATTGAAATGGTACAGAAAATTGTATTTTCATTGTTGTAAATGCTAAATTTGAATAAATATCATAAACAGTATCAATATAAGAATGTTGTTTATTGTAATGTTGTACACCATAGAAAACGCCATATGCAATAAACCCTTGACTTAAACTTGATGGATTATATGGCAATATCCACATTTTTTGTGTATCTAATGTATCAGGATTAATTTTAGCGGCTATAAAATTTCTTGTATGTTGTTGACGATATAATAACCATAGACCATTTTCATCTATTGAAAAATCATACCAACTTGATTGTGGTGTATTATATAGAGGTTCACGACTGGCAGGTATTTCAACACTTTGCGCTTCTGTTTCCGAAACAAGATCAATACGTATAATTGTATTTTTATATTGAACATTATAAATAAAACTTCCTTGATAAACAACATGATTAACGCCTGAATATGGATATGGTAATGTTATAATACGATTAGGTGTATCATTAATTAAATCCGCTTCACTATTATATTCATATAAAAGTGTACCAGTAACATGTCGTGTAACATAAACTTTTTGAGCACCATTTGCAGTTTTAGGCATTGGATCTTTAAACCAAGCGCCAAATGTAAAATTATCTTCTTTAAGAAGCACAGGTGTACCAATAAATGAAAATACACATCCTTAACAAGATAAATTCACTTTTTCAATAATCCTACATAAAAATTTGATTATTTATAACTTACGTTGTGCACGACTAAGAACGGCTGATTTTATTTTCAGAGAAAAAAAAATAAGAAACTAATGAATTTTTGTTTATGTTTCTTTCAATATAACTTACCATCACGTCGTGAAGAATCTGATATTAAAAAATAAAATTTGTAAATAATTAATGATCTATTTGAGAAACTATATACAAACCTTGTTTTTGATCTGAACTTGATGAACCTGGTGAAAATGGTAATGAAGATGATGCTGATGGTTGAAAAGATAATGTTGCCGAAGGACATGTACAGACGCTCTAGTTATATGAAAATCTATATTAAACAAAAACAATTTTTGTAATTAAACCTACCGGTGGACCTCGAAGACCCATCTCACCACGTGGACCTGGAAATCCTGGTGGGCCCATTGGACCCGAAAGACCTTAAAAAATCAATAGTTGGTAAGTATTTTTGTTTTCTTTTCTCTTTGAGCAACATACCTTGTTCACCTCGAATGGATTCACCTCGATCGCCTTTAGGTCCTGGAGGACCCGCTGGTCCAGTAAAACCAATTGGACCTGGTGGTCCTTTGATACACATTTACAATTGTACAGATTTAATTTTTTTTTAATTATCTTACCTGGTGGTCCTTGCGGTCCCATAAGACCAGACATACCAGGCAAACCTGTATAACCGCGTGGTCCTTGTTCACCTTTCGGACCTCGTAATTCTCAAAGAAAGTTAAATATATATATATATATATATAGATATATAAGGAAGAAAGTATTTCATATAATTTACCTTCATTTTCCGTAACTAACTTTTTACAATGATCAACTGATTTTACACAAAATGTTGTCATTGCTACTGGCTATAATTAATTCGCAAATATTGTCTTAATAATCAATTATTGCTTCTTACCGGTACTTTAAAATGAATTGAACCAACAAGTAGATCCGAGTTTTGTTGTTCTTCATGTTCGTTTTGTTGATCTTGCTTTTGTTTTTGTTGCAGCTGTTTATGATGGCTTGATTTAGTTCTTATACGAGTATGTCTTGATTGACGACGTAATGCATCAAATCCATTTATATTTGTTGAAACTGTTATTTGTGTTGATTCAAGTACTTCTAATCGTTCTTTGATAAGACTTAATTCAGCGTAAGTTGATTCCATATGATTTTGAACATTACGAGAAAAATGAACAAAATAAATTCCCCATGCTATTGTAAGACTAGCAATAAGTAAATATAAAACAATAATATGAAGCCGTGATGATGTATCGTAACGTGTAGTATGTATTGATTTTTCTGTTGGCATATTTCTGTTGTAATCTTCAAAATATATCTTCAATAACAATATTATCAACAAGTTTCAATCATAGAAAAGATATTGACAACCAATATATGAAATAATTTATAATAGATGTTAGGTGAATCCTATAATGTTTCTTTTCTCGAAAAATACTTTCATATATGATAAATACTTTATAAATGATGCTTTTTTCTTTTCTAACCAACACAGTTTACTTTGACACATCACATAAATAAATTTAATTAACAAATCGCGTCTATGACTCCTCACCTGATTTATTAACTTGCTGTTTTTTTTTTGCAATTAGACCGTAAAATGAAAAAAAAAAGAGAGAAGGAGAGAGGGAGAGAGACACAAGTGTATACATATGTATTTATGAAAAAACGAGTGATACACTCTTTTCGCTCTTTGCATTAATATAATGCATAACTCATTGATGTATATGTTCTGCATCATACAACACTATCAAAAAGGAAGTCAAGAGAAGAAGAAGATGTAGATATTTTCTGTTCTCGTGCGTACTCATTCTTTTCTCAAGCCCTCCAGCAAACATCTCCAATAAGTGCCTTTTCATATGTCTATGTATATACGTATGTGCTTGGTTTGACTATAAAAAAAAAAGAGAAATGCAAGCGAAACTCAATCAACAATACACGAAAAACAAAGAAAGAAAGAAAAAGGAACTGGTGAACAGAAAAGAAAACGGTCCCTGTGGTGAATGGTACGAAAGAAAGCAATAATCAGACATAAACATAACATTAACAATGAGAGATAAACAACAAAAGACAATAGATAAATAATATCTAACTATATGACTTAGTATTAGTATACGATCTTATATGCCACCTGAAAGAATTCCAAATGCATAACACTTCTTTGTTTCGGAATATGACATACATACGCTGTAAATTGATTTACTGATCACATCACCATCATTATTTTACATAAATTTTCAAGGTGTTTTGCTCTTCTTTACCTTTTTTTGTCTACGTGTCAAAAATAAATGATAAATAAGCAAGATCTCTAATTACATTGTTGATTTTTGTCATTCAAATCCTATTCTGTAACCACTGAGCATAAATCAATGAAGAAATCCGAACCTTCTTTTTCTTTTCCTTCTCGTAATACATATTTAATGCACGCATACACACAAATGGATGCATGCTCGTGCTCTTCTCATTGACAATTAGCGTATATGCAATGTTAAGACAGATAACAGCGAAGCGTGTCACATCATCACCATCGGTATCCGCACTTAGTAAAAGGCGTCCAGATCTCAATCTATCTTTTATCCATCAGTATCGCTAGCAAATGTTGTCGAAGACAAAATAACGAAGCGATACAAAAACAAAAAATGAGTTAATAGATAAAAGTCCATCAATCTGGACAACGAGTACTTAGACACACTATTTTTCCACGATCTATTGGTCGTAGATAGATGCACATATAGACAAAGAGATAACAAAGCTAATCTATGTTGACTCCGTGTTGTTACTAGTATTGGTGTGGCAAGCAATCAGAAATAGTCAAAGGATAGATTACAAATGTCACACTCTCGAGGCACAAACAGTAAGCGTCAGCAGCTGCAATAGAAATCAACTAAACAACAGACTCTAGTTATTGACAAGGATTAGAATAAAAAAAATAGAAAACAGATCTGCTTTTTTTATACAATAAAGAATTCTAAATACTAAAGCAAAAATTTATTGCATTTTTTTTTTTTAATGTCAACAAACAATTATTTAGTTTTTCTTAACCTGTATGTAAAATATACATATGGTGCTCTTTCTCCATGCGTATACTGAAATATAAAAAGAAAGATCGTCTTGAAATAAATAAACAGGTGTTTCCAAGGGTTTGCTAATATCTTCTATTATTTTCTTACTAAATCATACAATCTAACAAGTATTAGACAGCATACATATGGTATACGCGTGTGATCGATTAGAAAGCGCACCAGCACAAGAGAAAAAAAGAAAAGACATTAAAACCGGATGTCTGATTACAGGTTTGTATTGAGCGAATATAGTAGACAACTCATGGTTTTTTTCTTTCTTTTGTAATATAAATGTAGATGGAGAAGAAAAAAAAAAAATTTATGATCGATGATGATTGTGATCGAATATTAAGAAACTATATGTGCATATACACACATTTCGTTGTTATAAAGACATACACATACAGTTACATAGAGAGAAAGTAGATCGTGTACATTTGTGTATATATTATTGAAGAGGGAAAGTGAATGAAGAAGAGAGAGAATGCGATTTCTTTAGAGTGATATGACAAATAAATGAGAAGACCTATATATACATAAAAGAGAGAGCGAAAGAGAGGGAAGGAAAGAGTAGTCAAGTCACTTGAACAACACTTCTCGAAACTGCCACATTCAATGATGACGTTATTGTTTGATTGAAAAAAGACTAAAGAGTCGAACACACTTTATTTTATTATTTAAAAACTTCCGAGAAAAATTTTATTTTCGTGTTCAACAAAATATTCAGCATATTATTCAACTCACTAAAATGATTGACTTTTAATATACTGTTTTACACATAATATCAGTACACTAAATATCATAGATTGCATATAATTAGATTGTTTCTAGCTCAATTTATTATTTGATACATAATAAAAAAAAACAAAAAAAAACCTGAATTGTTGTTTTAGAAACCAATAAATCAGTTGAATATATCTGTAATGAATATCTGTCGTATGCATTTTTATAATGACACTAAATCGTTTTTTATCCAAAGCTATTGATTGCGCGATAGAAAAAAGCATACAGCGATATGCACACAGATAAACTTCTTTGAGTTTATACGTGTTATGATTGATATCTAGATGAATAAGATAGTAATGTTTAACACTGTCAAAAAAAAACTGAATATAAATACGATTATTTCATTTTATTCAGGGAAAAGAAAAAGAAGATTGAGCACCTGAAAAAAAAAATCATAAAAAATTAATTCAATAGTATCACATACCAATTGTTAATATGATAGACAAATTAGGTATATCCTTGTGGTTAAATGACTCAGTTTGTTATCAAAATATGAATAACTTTTAATATGTGTAGCTTTTATTTTCTTTTTCTTTTTTTTTTTTTTTTACAAAACTGTACGTATATATTTATATTCGCATAAAATCCATAAAATCGATGCATACGAGCTAAAATCATACAGAGTACGAAAAAAAAACCATAGTTTATTTGTAGTATTATTGTTTATCGTACAAATGATTAATAAATATGATATAACGTTTAACCAGAGTTTATTTAGGTTATCATTATACTGATATAAAATCTCTTGTTTTGAATGTAAGATGAAGCATTTCAATTATAAAGTTATAAGGATATCAACTATTTTGATGATTTGGTAGATTTTTCTTTCTTCCTGTAGGCGAAAATAATGTTTGTTGTCCTCATTCATACATATAATTGAAAATGATTCTACGGTACTTATTGAATAACACTAAATACAGATCACTTGATTTTAACTGAAATTTTTAAACATAGATACACGTTTTTGATAAATTGTTCCTACATAATGTTGTGTCTAGCCATAGAAATAATGCTGCATTTTATTTTGCCTCTTTTAAATGTCTTGCTATATTCCTTTTTCTTTATAATCTTAGACCAAATCTCGATGTAAACATTAATATTAATATTCTTGTTTTTTTCTTAATAAATAATTTTTCTTCTCCAATAAAAATAACTTCTTATACACTATTATCAAAAATTTATAAAATGAAAAAAAAAAATATTAACTTAGAAAAATGAAAATCCTACGTTATGGTTTCCATTTCAAGTGAATTTTCTATTGAAGGTTTTACTTCTTCAATAACTGTTTCTGGTATTTGTTTAGATATTATTTCTATTGTTTGAGGTTTTGATTCAAATTGATTATTATTATTATTATTATCAATTATTGGTTCTGGTAGTTGCTCTGATTTTGTTACATTTGTTTTATTTATTTTAGCAATTTCATTTATTTTTGTATTAGCACGTTCTACCGATGTAGTACCAATTCTTCTCATATTTTCATTTGCTTTAATCCAAACAATAATATAAAGTATAGCATCAATTATATAAATAATATCACCAGCCATTTGAATTGGACGAATAATAATATAAATAATATCAGTAATTCTATTTACATATTCTGTTGTAAAAGTTGCAATAAATGATATAATTGGTTGAATAATATGTGCAACTAAATAAGATATATTACCAATAAGATTAAGTAGATGTGCAAAAAATTCTACTGAACATTTTGATGTTTCTTTAGACACTCGTGGTGCAAAAAAATCAAGAATAGATTCAGCAAGAAATGCTAACATACCAACAATATTAAATACAAATGCTGGTATATCACTTAAATTAACAGATTCATTTGTAGATGTTTTATTATTTTTAAAAACTGTTGCTCCTATTAAATATAATATACTACCAATAACATTAAGTATGCAAGCAATTAATTCTCGTCGTGTTTTTGTTGTACGCTGTTCAAACCAATCTATTGTATAAAGTATAGCATCAATAACAAAAACTATAGCTAAAATAATTAAAATAATATAAGTTACTGGTGATTCAACAGTATTTCGATTGATAAGATTTGCTGTATTAATACTAAGATAACCAAATGAACCTAATGCATAAATAATATTACCAGCTGAGTACCACAAAAGTTTCATTCACAACTTTCTTTAATTCAAAATAAGAATGATTACAGAATGAAATGTGCTTTTTCTTCACAGGAACTTTTAAGTCGGTTACTGGGACAACCAACAGAACGAACAAGAACAACAACAACTAACATAAAAGAAAAATGCTAAAAAACAAAAGATGTTCAAGTATAAAACACGTTGCGACACGAAAAAACTATAAAAGACAGGATATTCAAAGACTAAAACTTTTTTGTCAGTACTTAAAAACAACAAGAGTAAATAGAATTCATCAAAATAAGTTCTTATATGAGATGTTTTATTTATGTAGTTTACTAGAAGAAAAACAATCAAAAAATATATATTTCATCCATAATAAAATTACATATTTCTTTTTCTAATATGAGAAAAACAAATGAATGATATGCTTTAAAAACAGAGACTAGAAAAACCTTATTTTTGATTTAGCTGATTCAGCAAATGTATCTCTCGATCGGTCACTTCCAAATTATAGCTTAACACAAGAGATATTATAGTTTAAAAGAAGCATAATTTATATGATTGAAAATAAATAATCGATTACATAAAATTTATTTATTTATTTTTTTGAAAATATAATATATTAATGATTAAAATCAATAGAAAATACAAGATGATTTTGCATTTTTAACAATCTCAATAAAAGGAAATATCAGTCATATTTGCCTCGAAAAAAGAAGTACTTTTGACTTCGTTGATTTTTTTACTGATAAATTCATGTAATAAGATATCAAATTTCAAAATAAACTTTTCTTTTTTAAGTAACAGATTCAAAACCACTATCAGTGCTTGTAATTGTCACTGGTGATTGTTTACGATTAGGAACTTTCGATGATTGAGGTAATGGTTCAGCTAGTCCAACAACACGTTTAAGCATTGCTTGTAAAGACCATCGTTGTTTATCTAATATATATGACGCTGTTGATGATGGTATAGCTGATGTATTTTTTGATGATATTGTTGGTTGATATATTGATATTCTTTGAACTTCACTATCACCACTAGTTGATATTGACATACGACGATTTGTATCAACTGATGTTGTATGATTTTCATCAGTTGTTTTTGATATAGCAGTAGAAAATGAATTATTTGCTATACCAGATCTTCCTCCCATTGTTTGATGACTACGAGCTGTTGTTAAACGACTATGATGTGCAGAATGCTCTTCACTTTTTATTTCTTGCCATTCATCAAATGCACTTTTAGCACGAGCACGACGTAAATCTTGATTATCTATGTCAATATCGTTTTGTTCACGTTTTTTTGCTTGACTATATAAAGTTTTTAAACAATATAAATGATAATTTTGTTTAGCCCATTCTGCATGTGTTAAATAGCCTTGTTTATACGATTGTAATAATTCATGCCATCGTTTACTATAATAGTCAGATGAATAAATACTACGTGATAAACGTTCAATTTGACGTTTTTTATCAAGCATTTCACGAAAAGTTTTTTCATGTGCTTGACAAGCATCTTTCGTATATACATCAGTCGCTAACCAATTTGCTGACGAATAACGTTGGACTTCAAAACCATGGCGACTGTTTACATAACGAATTGTACCATCGGCTATAGGTTTTTGAATATTTGAATCGTTATCAACTAATGCTGATTGAATAGATTGTGTTGTCGAACGAGAAGTAATAATATGAGAACGAGAAGTTGATGAAGTTTTTCTCGATGTTTTTCGATTTGACGATAATGCTGTTGGAAGACGAAATGGTGGTAGATTTTGACGATTAGATGATAAATTTGACTGTGCTTGACTATTATTTATTTCTGATATTAAATCAGGTAGAGTCTATTGAATACAAGAAAGTCATTGAATTTGTACTTTTGGAATAGAAAGTTTACTAATCAATAAATCCTATTTATCTTTTATATCGATCAAATAAAACAAAATAAATTGAAATATTTTATATCAATATAATGAATATAATTTTTATGAATTTTTAAGATAGAATATAATATAAAAGAATATTTTGATATTCATATTAATATTTTTTTTTTGATAGAAAATTTTTTATGGATTGATTATTCGAGATGTAAATTCTATATCATATGTTCTTCTTATAATAACTCTAGTTATGTTTTAATTCTCCAATCAAGAAAGTATTAGAGTAACAGTCAATATGAGTCATGTAAAACGTCATTGATGACCCGTACGAAGTGACTTCAATCAATATACACGCCCCGTTTTTTTAAATGAATGTCAAATCGAACTTTTTCGTACTATTTTTGTTTGTTAGAGAAAGAAAAGATTGATGTTTGACAAACCGAATCATTATTTATTTAATTCGTTTGTATTTTAGAAGAAGAATATTTTTTATTAGTTTTATAAGAGATTTTTTTTAATCTTTGACAAAATAATTTTTAAGACTATGTTAACGGTTTTCGTCACAAATGAATTATATCTTATTAATAAATATTTGTCGTTTTTTGAAAGAATTATTCTAATCTGGTGCATTTTTTTCTGAGACTTTCTTTTTTTGGCATTATATTATCAATTTTTGGACTTAGTTAAATTTTGTTTGTAAAAACTTACCGTTATTATAGTTTGCTCAGTTTCTATTGGTCTTGATGGTATATTAATAGATTTTTCTTTTGATCTATTTAATTGTCGTGATTCTCGCATACATGGTGTTGGATTATGTTTACGCATATGAGCCGCACGAGATATAGTTAATTTATCATACAGAGGATTTGCTACAAGCAGAAATAATTATAATTATTCATGAAATATTCTATTAATAAACTTACCAATAATTCGCATCATTTTTGATGGATCATCCAAAATTGGATGAGGTATAGGTTTATCAAGATCCCTAATAGAAATCATTAATAACAATATATTAAAATGCATAAATGTATGAAAACCTTTTTTGTAATACTATGTTCATGAGGTTAAATATTCGAATATATATATAGCTTAGGTATGTCGAGTGTTTCAATCGATGACAATCAGGAAAAAAACGAAAAAGTATGATTTTGAAGATGATGACACTGACGTTTATACTTCTACACACAAGTGGCGATACATGTCTATATAATAATATGGGTAGCAAAAAGAAATAAAGTATAGATTTTATATGTTGTTCTTTTTACAATTCTTTCTTATTGAATAAAAAAAAGCAAAAAGGCAATAATGAAGATTGTTTACTTAAAAAGACGAATATAATATTTTTTTTATTCCTCCCTTTCAATCATAAATAATATTACAATCCATGAATATGATTATTAAATTAGATGGTAAGAAACCTATCAAATCAGACATTATCAACAAGTGAAACCTTAATAGTACTTATTGTATACAAACTATAGAAGCCAAATAGAACATAAACGAATATAGTTTTCTTAAATCGGAAAAAACAAGTATTAAAACAGGAGACTAACCAAATCGATGTTTCAAATAATATAACATCTGGTTGAAGCATTTTCCATCCATCATCATTATTAGCATGATTTTCAACGGCAACCATTGAAATCAAACTATATTACAAAATGTTTGCTTATACAGAACATAATAACGAGAAAAAAAATGTAATCTTTTTTTCAAGTACATCTTATTAACACTATAAATCGTGTCATATTTCATCGAATATAATCAATATGTATAGATGAAAAGGACAGAAGAAAAAGAGTTTATGTCTTTCATTTTTTTTTTTTATTTTATATAAAAACAAAAACTGAAACAAAGGAAACCTGGAGGATCAATATATGGAAAGAACACACACACACAAACAAAAAAGTCAAGGATATATATATATATTTATATTTAGAAATGCGATACACTATGTATAAATATATAATAAAACAAAAAACAAACATTTCACACAACAACTTCATAAACAAGCTTTTTTCCATGATGAGATTTTGTTGGAGTTGAAAAACCACTTTCTTCTTCGGATGATATTCTTCCATGTAATGTTAAATTTAAATGATTATCTTCTCGAGCTCCTATTGTATACGGTGGTATATCATTTTTACTATTAAATTTTGTTAAAAATAATTGTTGTATATCAGGTAAATGATTAGGTTTTGTTATTATTCGTCCATTGACAAGATTTTCACCATCAGAACGATCATAAAATCCATTTATTATTTGTGCATCAATATCTGATGATGAAAATGCTTGTGAACATGCTGAATCGGAATTATTTGAAGTTGTTGATGGCATACCGGAATCAAAACACATAGAATTTTTTTTTTCTAAACATATATTAAAATCAAAAAAACATGATTAATTTATTACATTATTTCATTTTTTATTTTTAATTATTTTTTTGGTGAGAATTGAAAAGAATTAGTAGAGAAATAAAATAAAATTTTTCAATGCAAGAAGAAATTCTTTTACATTGAATTGTGATAAAAGAAATAAGAGAATTTATGTGTTCTGTGATATATCAATCAAACAAGCACACATACGGAGAGTATAGTGGACAATCATACTAACAGGCTTTTAAGCCTCGTTTCACTTTTGCAAAACCTGTTCTTATTGTCATTTTGTTTGTACCTGATATTGAATGGTAAAATTCAACATGCATATTTATATATATATATGTACAGGTTTTCAATTCATTTCTTTTTTTTTTCTTAAACTCACCTTGTATTGAATAGATACCATTAGGCATCTCTTGATTATAAAATAATGCTCCATTTGATCGAACTAAATGAAGAATTGAAAAAAAAAATTTTTTTATTATTACAACAAGAAAAAACGCCTTCATACTTTCATTAATTGTTGTTGCTGATGGTGGTGCTGGATAATAAAGACAAGAATTAGTATCAATAACTCTAACAGGTGTTGCATGAAAATTTTCTATTTGATTTCCATTTAAATTTGTTTTTAATGTATTTATAGAAGAATTTTTCGATTTTCCTTTACGTCTTTGTTGTTGTATACAAATAAATAAACCAATTAATCCAGCAACAAAACATAAACCTAATATAGCTCCTTGAATAAAAAAAAAACGAAATGTTTCAATTGTATTAATTAAATTAATTATATTTTATTTACCAATTAATATTAAAATTGATTCAGATGAATCATTTGACAAAGATACACCAGTTGGTATTGATATAGATTTAGAACAAATATCTGTTTGATTTATTAAACATAATTTTAAACGTATATTTGTATGATTTGTCATTATTTCAAGTTCATCATTTGATTGTTGTAAAGAATTTAATGGTATACATGCCGGTAGATCATTTGTAGTTTCAATTATTGTTAATGGTATATTATAATGTTGTAAACATAATTGATCTCTAGGAATAAATGATGAATGATATTGATTTAATTGAATATGTATTCGACGACCATCAGTTGTATAATAAGCACGTTGTATAAGAGGAAATTCTTCGGAATCAAATGGATATTCCTTTGTTAAAACAGGTAAAGTACTTGAATAATTACTAAAACCAAGAATATTTTTTGAACGAATTTTAACAAAATAATGAGATTTTTCATTGAGATCTAAAAATAAAAATTCACATAATTACAAAAAAAAAGAATGAAAAATCATATTTACCAGTAAATCTTATTGAATTTAAACTTGTTTGTCTTTCTTCTGTACAATTACCAGTAAGAGTAATATGATAGATTATATTTGAACCACCATTATAAGCTGATGGCCATGTAAGAATAAATGAAGAATGTGTTACATTTATTGCTTGTAATTGACTTGGTGGATCAGGTAAACCAGGTCGTTGAAAATTTATTGAAAACTCATGTTGACCATATTCATTTTTAGCTACACAACGATACAAACCAAGTATTGCTGAATAATGTGGTGGTACTAAAATATACTTATTTTATTGAATTCAGAAAAAAAGAAAGAAATGATCAACTTACAATGTAATCTAGATGAAATAACTGTTGCATTAAGAACTTTTTCTTCGATAACTGAACTTATACGTTGACCAGACGGTCCAAACCATACAATATCACTTTTTGGATAAGAATCAACAATACATTCTGTTGTAATATCATGATTTTCTGTAACAGCTAATTTTTTAATTGAATTTAAAATAAAAGGAGCATCTAAATTAAAAACCAAAGAATTTTTTTTCTGTAGCAAATAGGGTTTTTCAAAACAATGTAAACAACAAATAATTTCGGTCTTAACTAGTGTCCTAAAATCGAGTCGAATACTCGATTCGAAACCCAATGAAATTTCAACGTTTCAAACTGCTAATGTCTATGAAAACATAGAAGTCGAAAATAGTAATATTCTACTAAAAGAATTCGTTTTAATAGAAATTTGTTTCCAGATAATGATGAACCATATGATAAAGTAATTAAATACATGAAAAGAAAAATGAACTATCAACAAGACGAATATACATTATTATGATGGAAAAAGCATTTATTTATATACCCACAATTATTGCGTTTAGTACCAACATTGCATTATGTTCGAGCATTCTCAGAAATAATTAAACAGATACTTAGCGAAGTTGATCGAATTTTAGAAGTAAAAAGATGCTAAATGAATCCTGAATCACTTGTTTTTTTGTGAAATGTGAAATGATGTCGTTTTTGAAGTTGTTGCTTATGGAAAACACTAAATAGTATAACTTTTCATATCAAATAAAAGTTGGGAAACTGTATGATGATCGTAAAAACATCTGTTGGATGTCGATGAACTCCAATTCGCATCTCGAGTCAAAACAAACATCTTTTCATTGGAAATGATACTTTCTATGACCATGTGAAACTTACGTCGAATGTCACATTATCACGACTGATGTGTTCTAAGTAGGTATGCGCAAGATAGTTGCAGTCCCAGCGGAACCGCGAACGGAACTGAAACAAAAGTGCCTGATCTCACTTATGTCTACTCCGGATATTTAATTAGTCTACATTTTTTTTTAGTTCTAATTTACATAATAAAGGTATTTTTCCCCACACGGCTTATAGGAAATTGAAGGTGAAACTTTCATCATCGAATTTATTTCCGTCTAGAAAAAAAGAAGGATCCAAATAACAAAAACCAGTCGACATAAACTATAATGATAATAATTGATTGCTGATTGATAGCGAATGTTACATCTTATTTTCTCCTTCAACTAATCTTTTGGTTAGTTATCTCTCATTTACTAAATATAAACACATTGACACTATACTTCTTTCAAACAGATACTCACAATACACTATTCTTAACTTTTTTTTATATTCTATTTTAAACAATCTTTAAAAAAAATTAACTTGTTATATTTATCGGTCGAATAAATTCTTACATTGTATTCGAACATCAGTTGATATTTCTGTTATAGCTTCATGTCGATTATCAAAACCCGTATAAAGCCAATTTTTAACTTGACATGTATATTTTCCTGAATGTATTCGATAAACATTTGGTATAATATATTCTGTTATAGTTTGTGTTCGATTTGTTAATGAACATGATTGTGTATGTATTTGTTTACCATTATGAAACCATTGAATTTGATGACACAATGGATTTGCATCAATAGAACATTTTAAAATAAGTTTTTCACCTTGATTTAATATTATACGATCAATCATTGATAACTTTGGTTTATCTAATAAAAAAGAAATTTGTTTTTTAATTATAAACAAATATTATTATCTTTCATTGACTTACAAAGTATATCAACATTAACAGTTGCTTCTGATTGTCCTATTGTATTTCTTGCTCGACAAGTTAATTTTTGTATATTTTCCATTCGAGTAAAATTAATTCTTAATTGTTCTTGATTTTCTCCTAAAATAAGAACATCAAAAAGTGATGTATATATGTATATATCTTAGAAGTCAATAAACATTAATTTAAACTTCTTCGATACAAGAACAATTCAATTTAACGTTTTATCTAAATTTTCTCTTTCGAAAGTCCTAAGACTAAATAGACCATCGGAAGGTCGCCGCCCCCTTTAGCTCTTCACGTAGGATCAAATACTAATTCAAAAGATAAAAGAAATTTGTCTATCATAAGCACAAATGTCTCATAATATGTTTCACATGAATGTTTTACCTCCCATTAATTGATCGTTTTTAAACCATTCAATATTTGTTGATGCTGATGGATTAGCTGATATTATACAATGTACAGTTTCAAATCTATTTTCAATTACTGTTAGTGTTGTTGGTGATTGTTTTTGATTCCAGGATATATTGATAATGGGTTTAACTAGAAGAAAAGAAAAATAAAAACGTGTCAGTCGGATGATCAAACAAACTAGTCAAGTAGCTTTTAATAAATATTCTTTATATATGTATGTATACTACTCACATAAAACATCGAGTTTAAGTTCAACATTTGTGTCATGAATACTCGCTTCATTAGTTACTTGACAACGTAGTATATGGTCATGATCAATAGGTGAAAGTATAAGTGTTAAAATAGATGAACTTGAAAAGCTTGCTGCATTTGTTTCATTGTTAAGACTCATACCAATTGAACTAAGAAAAAAAAATAGCAATTCCATTAAGATATATGAAAAGAAAAGAATAACATTTTGTTTATATATATATCCCATACCGTTGAATTAATTTATCATTTTTATACCATTCAAATGTTGGTATTGGATAAGCACGTTCACTAGTACAATTAAATATAACTGATGTACCATCAGCAACAGGCATTTGTGGTGATGGACTAAGACGCAGACGAGACGGTGGAACTATTAAAAAAAAGTTGTTTTTTCACATCTTTATCTGATTACTTTAGTCGTATGGGTGTCAATAGATTGTCTATAGAGACAACACCTTCTTTTCCTTTTCTATTCGTATAGTGATTGACAAATATTTTCATGTATATATGCATTGTCCATATTGAAGGCGGGGGTGTGACATATCTTGTGTTAAATGGCCATAGGCTAAAGCGGCTATCCAACATGCGAAACACGTCTTGTTCAATTGTCTGTAATTATTTCAAGGTGTGTTCTTTTTTTTTTCCTTTCACGTCTATTGTCCAGAGTAACTAATGAACGTTCATCCTTCCTGTCGGATGACAGATAAATAATAGGCAATGAAAAAGATGATGGCTAATTGTTTTATATTTATTTGTCAAATTTAGACATTTTTATACTAATTAGTAGTAAGATGAAAAAAAAATAAAAAGAAAACCTTTATCAGATATGGAATAGAGAATAACCTCTAATCTTAGTATTTATCTGATTTACAGAAGAAAGAAGAAAATTGATTATTCTTTTGTCATCTTTCATTTATTCTATATTGAACAGACATGGTTTGTGTCTATCATAATTGATTGTACGACTGTTCTTGTTGTTTTTTTTTTCTATAGAGAATTTTTATTCTTGTAACCTTTTTCGTTGATGAGCAAGTAAAGAATCATCTTCTATTAAACATGCATACGTGTGCATATTCACCAAATTAACGAGTTTTGTTCTCAATGGAAAATGATTGATGATTAACTTCATTGACATCCTTATTCATTGCTGTTCGTCTATAGGAGTATCCGTGAGTAGCAGATGCTTGCCTTGATCTCTCGATTGACTCTTGACTAGAATACATGCAGCTCAATGAACATGAACTTTGACTAAAAAATTCTGTCATGCGGATGAAATAATAGTTGGTAATTATATTCTTAATTCTCACGCACGAGTCGTTCATCTTCAAACTAATAGTAGTACATATAATATCTCGTTCTTCGTTTTTTTCCTTTTCTTTTAACATTATTACATCATCTATCAGAATAATTACTGAGTCAAAAAATGTCAACATACATCTCAAGCTGAGAAAAAGATTCATTCTTGATTTGTCTATCACTGATAGTAAAAAAAAAGGAAAAGATTGATTTTCCGGAACTTTTGTACAGCTGCTCGATGTATATGTTGTAATAGAAGCGTGAAAACAGTAGTCTTTTTTTGTTTCTTCTATCATAACTACTCATGCTGATATCTCGATATTTGGATGTTGTCAGATATGATGCAAGAATTAACATATCGGTTCTACTACTACCAACGGTTTGCTTGACATATTCTAATAATAACAGACACATACGTTGTTGAGTCAAAAGAAGATTAATCTTCGATACTAAACATTTGGCTATTCTTATTTTTTTTGGTCTAACTATATCATATAACTTTCTAAACATACCCATAACATTAAGTTGAAAAAGATTTTCTTCTTTAGCTGTAAAATTTTGACATTTATATAAACCCGATGATTCTAATTGTACATTAAGTATAATTAATTGATATGTATAAAAATTCTCTTGATGTATTATATATTTTTGTGGATCATTTGATATTGAATTAACACCAATAACATGTATATCATCTTTATACCATAGTATAATATTACCTGAATAATTATTATCAAATATTTTATTAAATGATGATAATGATGGTATAGATGATTGATAATTTGTAGTTAAGAAATTTTCTCTTGTATTAAGACGGCATGTCATTGTTACATTAACATTTTCACGTACTTTTATTCGTTGAATTTGCATTGTTTGAATAAATAATAATAAATTTAAAAAAATGAATAATATAAAAAAGAAATACATCTACAAGAAAAAAAAAAGTAGACTAACATCTAAAGTATCAATTACAAAATAACTTCAAACAGTTCTTGTTAATGTCATTTCACCTTCACACAAAGTGGACAATACATGTGTATATACACATACTTTCTCTTTCAATATGTATGTGTATGTATAGTTAGCAAATGTTTTTACACGGAACCTTTTTTTTCTCTTCTTCTCTATGTCGGACAACTACCAATGATGACCATTGAGAGTAAGGAATAAGAAGAGAGTAGAAGGAGAGAGAGAGAGAGAGAGAGAGAGAGAGAGCAAAGAGGAGAAAAAGAAAAAGAAAAGAATACCAAGAGGATATACCTTTTGTGTCATTTTCTCCTAAAGACAAAAAAAAAATCCGAGATTGTCCATTTGTTCCACTAACAGTAAAAAGAAAACTATATTGAAGTTTATTGAAATAAATGAGTCGCACGTTTTGTACGTGACTAAAATGACCATCTCAATCTCTCTTTTTCTTCGTCTTCTTCTGTTTCAACAATGATTTATGTCCTATGAACGGTGATTGTTTTAACAGAACACACACATATATGCGTATACATATATATATCCATATACATATACACAATGTCAGACGTGATTTCCCGTTTTTTTCTCTACATGCACGTTATCGTTAATTACCGGTAGTCAGTCTGATTTAGGCAATCTTAGTCTAGCGGTCATCTTCTCATTAGAAAGGAAAAAAACGTGGAATAATAACGATTGTATTACACAATATTGAACACGCACGAAGTCATTTTTTTGTAGCTAACTGTATTAGATTTCATCTTAGAAGGAGAAAAGAAAATGGCTAATGATGAAAACTATGGTACTATACTCAGTGTCTTCAAATTTCATATGTATCGATGCCGACGCCGACGCCGCCATCTCATACATTCCACAGACAACATCAAGTAAAAAAGAAAAAAAAAAAAGAGGAATTGTTATTTCACACACAGTATTCATTTGCACCTTGAAGATTTCATTACTTATTGTTTCCTGAATGTGCCGACTGAAGCTGATAAGAGATAGACAATGATAGAAGGACACGGCTGCAAGGCATCATATAGATAATATGTATATGGTATGTGTATATGTTCAAACACACACACATATACAATTGTTTTAACAGAAAATGCCTCGAGGCATCTTGACGCAAGAAGGCCAACATTCTAATCAGATGTCGATTATTATTATGTTTCTATTTTCCTTTTTTTCTCTTTCTCCTTTCAATTGTTTTCTTCGGTTGAAGTATGATAAACGGAAGTAATTTTTCATCTAAATGAGAGTAGTATAAAAAAATCATAAGTACTTCTTTTGACAATGAACTTCATGTACAGTTGATTAAATTGTATGTAAAAGTGAAATAGAGAAAGAAAGAAAAGAAAAAAAACACCTATATAGCACCCCTACTGTTCTTTTTTTCTCATATTCATTCTTTGAAATAATGCGGAAAGAGTCAATTGACTGCATGAAAAGAAAGTGAGATCTTTTGATTATGAACAATTATTAGATCCTCACACCGAGAATATAGAAACAAAAAGAAAAACTTCAATGCATTGTTTAACGAACGTGCTTTCGAATTCAATCTCTTTTTTCTTTTTTTTTTTTTTTTTTTGTACATTTATGAATTTTCAACATTATGAATAAAAAATTCGAATCGAGAATGTCTAAGATGATGTCGGCATTGTCATCAGAATAATTCTATCACACAAGTGAAAGTCATTCCGTGAAAAGAATTCAATATGATTAAACTTTCTATGTATGTCAACAACATCTTATACATACAAAATTATTTTAACAAGTAAAAGAAAAAGATCATATATGGATAAGCACGACTCATAGGAAGTCTTATTTGTACAAATTAATTTTGAACGATGACTAAAATGAAGCCTTAGAACTAGTTTAAAAGACAATAGACATTGATCTTTTAAGAAAAAAAATATATGTATGTACATATTTGAAACGAATTTCTCTAACGAAACCTTAGTTTATATTTGATGAATATAATTTAATATAAATGTATATACAATATATTATTTTCTTATTTCAAATATCAAATTTCAATCGAATGAAACTTTCTCGGCTTTCATACATTCAATAAAAAGTTAATTATAACATACACATACATGAACCTTTTTTTTTCTAGATTACTTTCAATTGAATGATTATGTATGTATATATATATATAGGTCTGTGAATAAAATTCTCCTCTTAGACACATTTTTTTCTCTCGTATTGAAATAAATGTCATAGGGAATTTCTGTACCATTTGGCGGCACTGCGACGATGTGAACCAATTAAGGTATTATAACATGGCGCGTCTAATGTTCAGTTTAGTTCTTTTTCATTCGATTCAATCAAGTGAGTAAGACGTGACATATTCATATGTATATGTATATGTATATATATATGTTCAAGTATTCAAACTTCAAATGCTTGGAACTAATATGGGAGTATGTATGAAAACAAAAACAACTTAAAATATTGTTTAATCGACGGATATTTTCAAGTGTAGATAATATATACATGTATAACTTGAAAAAAAAAACAAATAATTAAATCAATGTTTAACATCGACGACAATAGAAAACAAATATGACATCATCAGCAGCATGATCGGCACCTAAAGGGAAATGTTTGTCTTCTTTTTAAAGATTAAAGCCTATGGTCTAATGTTGAGAACATTTTATTTTTAAATAGATGATTTGTATTGAAAAGAATAATAATATTATTTCTTTTTGAATCCGACCAAAAGAATTTAATGTTATTGCGCTTTAAAACACAAAATGATGCCTCAAGCACGAATATGTATATATATATTTCGTTGTTAGACTTTTATCCTTTGGTATTATATTGTTCAAAATATACATCAACATAGAAGATTAGTAACAGTTGAAAGCTTACTAGTGACTGAGTGCACACACACACACACACGCTCTAAGTTCAATCGGCTTTTCTTGAGTAGACAGGTGTTGAGAATTGGCCTAGTCGACAGATTAAAACTCACAAAAGATTCCGATATGATGATCAAAAACTAAATTAGTTAATCATGCAAATAATTATAAAAGAGAATTCTTTATTTCTTTTTTTTTGTCTTTATAATAGATTGATTCATGATATTTTTTATTTATTTAAAAGGGTCGTCTTCTCTCATTCAAAACAAATTAAAATCATATATACACATATTTATATATATGTACGCAAAATCATCATTTAACGAAAAAGAAAAGAAAAGAAATGTCGTTCGTGTGCTCACAAAAGAGTTAGTTCGATTGTCATATGATCACACAAACCTTGACGATGTGTACTGAACATGTATTAATTCAATGTGACATATTCACACGCGATCAATTAAATAGCAAAATGATGATAGCGAACAAATTTATTTGTTTGTTTAGGGTCTTTTGTTTTTCTTATAAAACATTTGGTCCAACTGGAACACCATGCATATTGAAAAGAACTTTTGTCATTTTTTTATCAAGTAATTTCATATCAAGTTCAGTTGAACTTGTAGCTTCTTTTAATTTTTCAACACGACGACGAAAATTAGCATCAAGGGAATTTTTCTTTTGTAATTTTTTATTATAATGTGTACGACGTTGATGACGTGAAGATGATGGATATATAGCTGAAGCTCCAGCTTGTGTTGTTGTTAGAATTGATGTATCTTGTTGTTGTGGTGAACGTATATGAGAATTTAAATGACGATTTTCACTATGTGTACGAGGTTTTGCATTACGAGATTTTTTTGTTGGACTTGCACCTTATATGAAATAAAAGAACATATTAGATTTAAGAGAAAAATAAAGCAAGAAAAATAATAATATACTTGATCGAATCTTTCGATTTCGTTTTGGTGATGTTATACGTTCAATTCCATGTTGAGATTCATCAGGTTGAAATGATGGATTATCGACACCTTTACGATGATGACGATCATCGGTAGTTTTACCATGATTACGTCGACTTACTCTTTGACGAATTTTTCGCTAAAATATATGAAAAAAACGAATAAATTTATTTTGTATTTAAATATTGTTTAAATATTCAATAACCAACCAATCATATTTATATCTGATTTTCAATGAGATTATGATTAGTTTCGGTTGAATGAAAAGAACACAATCATATTAATTAAAAAGAATTTGTTCAATATGTAATGACTCTTTCAGTACGACATAAAAAAATAGTTTTGTTTAAAAACCTTGAAAGTATTACAAAAACTTCATTTTTTTTCTTGTCTTTAATCAAAACGTTACTTTTATCTTTTCATAAGACAGATATATTTTCATTGAATGAAATCATAAATAGACTTATTTCTTAGTTCATACTAGACATGTTCGGAATCAGTCATTTTTTATCTTGATTCTGGTGGAAACGGGCCTCTGATCATATCTGTTGAGGACACATGAGTCGTGATAATATGACATTCAACATAAGTTTTACACGAATATAAAAGATATCGTTCTCAATGAGAGTGTGGCAGTTGTGACCGCTACTTTGATGAAAAAAGGATTGGGTCCTGATTCCAGTCTTGGTCAAAAGTATGACTATATCTCGGCTCTATCTTGTCCATATCTGGTTCATAAATTCGATACTGAAATGACTGTTGAAATATCTTCAGTTATCATTAGATAAATGTAATTAAAGAAAAAAAGATTAAATGTAGTTTTTGCGGTTACCGGTCCCTTTTCATCGACAATATGATATTTTCCTGCAGCCGATTCATTATTTATTTCACCAGCAATAGCTGCTGCTTGAACAAATACATCATCATCACCTGATCCAGCTTGTGATCGATCATCATCATCACCACCTTTCATTCCATTGTGTGGATTATCATTTTTATCCATTTCGCCATCACTATAATCTGGTAATGGTTCATTTTCTTCATCAATTGGCTTAAAAAAAAACACGTCTTAATATTATTT